TATGAAGTTTAGAAAAGAAACCATGATTAAGAAATGTACTGCTACTATTAATAGCTAAGATTAAACAAAGTCACCAGGAAGGAAAAAGAATTCAGTAATGACTAAGTTTTTGTTTTTACTAATTTTAAAAGATGACCTTTAAAACTGTAAAATCCATATAGTTTGACAAGAGCTATAGCAGTAAAACAATATTTAAGAAGTTCCTAAATGATTTAAGTGGGTATATTCCGATAACTTTATTCTATAATTCAGTTTGAAAACTCAGATGAGTAAATTCTGATAGAATACTAAGTATTCAGTGCCTCAGTCTTCTACTTTATAAAACAAAGTAAACAAAAAAAATTTCTTGTAACATTTTACCTACAAATAATAAATTAAAAAAGCATTATTTAAATGGCTTCAGTAAACTGTTTAAGGATAAGCTATTAGCTCATTGGCCAGGACTCTGCTTTTTACTAATTCTGTTCAGGAAAACAAGTAGATGGAGTAAGGGCACACCCCAGCACAGTGACAGGCCCTCTCCTCACACCGCAACCACTCAGATCACCCTAGAGTGGAGACCAAGACAAAAAGACAGCAAGCAGCAGGTTTAGGATCCCAGGACCCTCAGAAAATGAAATGAATAGGCCCAACCAATATACTATGAAATGCAAATATTTAATATACAATATACCATTGCTCACTGTGTAATCTTAGAAGGCACTGTCACTTAACTCACTTGCCCTGCACAGCAACCTATGACGCAGGTAACACTGTTTATCCCTGCCTTACAGATGAGGAAACTGGGGCATGGCCTCAATAACTTCCCAGCGTCACATGGACAGCGCTGTGATTTCAACCCAAGCAGTCTGGCTCTTAACCTACACGCTGTGCAGGACTTCTGGAAATGAGAATAAGTAAGATTTCACAAGAAACCTCAATAGGAAGGTCAGAGAGCATGCAGATTATGTGTAGAAAGAGAAGGTATATAGGATGAAAATGGTTGACATTTCGCCAGAACTGATGACAGCTATGAATTCCCTTTAAGGAACACAGTGTACCCTAAGCCAGAAAAATAAAACTATGCCAAACGTCAAAATTTTTCTTTCAGAGAATTGATAAGAGTATTTGAACTGCAATAACAGTGAGAATATGTCACCATATGTGGGTGTAATAAAGATAAAACCCTAGAGGGCTGGCGCTGTGAAGCAGCAGGTTAACACCCTGGCCTGCAGCGCCAGCATCCCATACGGGCTCCAGTTCGAGACCCGGCCGCTCCACTTCCGAATCAGCTCTCTGCCATGGCCTAGGAAAGCAGTAGAAGATGGCCCAAATCCTTGGGCCCCTGCACCAGTGTGGGAGACCCAGAAGAAGCTCCTGGCTCCTAGCTTCGGATCTGCATAGCTCTGGTCATTGTGGTTACTTAGGGAGTGAACCATCGGATGGAAGACCTCTCTCTGCATAACTCTGACTTTCAAATAAATAAATCTTAAAGAAAGATAAAACCCTAGGAAGCCTTTGTAAAAAAAAAAAAATGGGCAGGTCTAGTTTTTATGGCATGAATTATAAATGTGAATATGGAATTTTTTTCAATTTTTTATAAAAGGTAAACAAATTTCATGTATCACTATGTTCCTAAATCTGTATCTATGAAAAATACATCTCATTCTTTTCTCCCTCTTTTATTTATTTATTTATTGGAGAGGCAGAGTTAGAGGATTTCATCCACTGGTTCATTCCCCAAATGGCTGCAATGGCAGGAGCTGGGCAATCTAAAGCCAGGAGCTTCCCCTAGGTCTCTCATGTGGGTGCAGGGGCCCAAACACTTGGGCCATTGTCCACTGCTTTCCCAGGCCATAAACAGAGAGCTGGATCAGAGCAGGAGTAGCCAGGACACAAGGATGCTAGTGACACAGGTGGAAGCTTAACCTACTATGCCACAGCACTGGCCCCTTCTTTTTAGAATGACATACTTCCTGTCTATTTTATACTCATGAGCCTAACCCTCCACTAAGTAAAGTATTCAACAAATAGAAAAAAAAAAACCCCACTATCCCTCAATAGTACAGACAAGGGCTATTGTCGCTCCCCGTCTTTGTGGAGGAGCAACATAATGGTGCCGTGACTCGGATAGGAAACTTAGGAGGGAAGAAATGGGAAAATACCGGAGAGAGAGACTAGCAAACAGCCTAGGGAAAAGCCGGACGAAAAAGGTGCCAGAAGAAGCTATTGAAAGCCTAGGCATAGACTCGGATACGGACTGTGGGAAAGAAGTTAGGATTTAAAGTGAAAGCAAGAAGAAACTTAGACTCAGATACGGACTGCAGGTTGAAAGTGAAGGTGAAACCTAGAAGAAACTTAGACTTGGATACGGACTGTGGGGAGAGGCCAGGAGAAATGAGGGAGGAATATTGTTGGAAGAAAACTTAGGGAAACGTACCGGGTAGAGAAAAATGTTAGGGAGGATGAAGCCGCGGGGGCAGGCCGAGGCGGAAACGCAAGCCAGCTTGGGATTCGTCAAGTCAGCCCGGGGAGCAAAAGGCGAAAATCTAAAACTAGAGGCGGAGACGTATGAGCTAGGTTGGAATCCGTCAGATTAGCCTGAGGAGCAAAGGACGGGAAGCCAGACCGAAAGGTGCAGACGCGTGAGCTAGGTTGAATTCGCCAGGTTGGCCCGGGGAACTTAGATTGAATACTAGTGGCAGAGACATGAGCTGGGGCTGTGTGACTCGCGGAGGCTGCTGCGCGCAGAGAGCGCGTGCGGGGCACAAGTAGATAGGGAACGCTGGGCTAGCGCGGAGACCGCGGAGCGCGCGCGCGAAGCCACGCAGATAAGAGAAGCGGGCTGAAGCGGCTCAGAGCCGGGAAGCCGCCGAGAAGCAGCCTCGGGGCGGGCGCCGGGAAGCCGCAGGGACAAGAGAAACAGAAGTTTAGAAGTAAAATGAGAGAAATAGGAATGCTGGTAGATAGAAGTAAAATAGGAGAAATAGGAATGCCCGGAGATAGAGAAACAGAAAAATAAGGCCTCCCCACAATATGGCAATGAGAGAGCTTGGATTCGGTCTGCCTGATTAGGGAAGTGGTGAGCACCTGCGGGCAGCTAGCAGCTTATGCGCCGCAGGTCACCGAAGACAGGCACGAATTAACATCAATAAGTCTCCCCACAATACTGCAATGAGAAGGCTTGGATTTGGTCTGCCTGATTACTAAGGCGGTAAGCACCAGTAGGCAGCTCGACCAGAGTATGAGCTGCAGGTCACCGAAGATAGGCACGAACCAACACTAATAAGTCTCCCCACAAGACGGCAATGAGAGGGCTTGGATTCGGTTTGCCTGATAGGGCTTGTAAGCACCTGCAGGCAGTTCTGGCAGAGCATGCGCTGCAGGGCACTGAACTCAGGCACGCATCAGTGCCTAAAAACCTCCTCACAACATGGCGAAGAGAGGACCCGGATTCGGTTTGCCTGATTGATAGGACTTGTAAGCACCTGTGGGCAACTCTAGCAAGCAGAGCAGAGTGTGTGCCGCGGGGCACCGAAGACAGGCGCGTATCAACGCCAAAAATAAAAAGAAAGGGGGATCTGTGGGGAGCAACCCGGACTGGACTGAGTTACTGGAATTAAGACTTATTCTATGCATCTGCTCTCCCACAATATGGCGCTGGGAGAGAAGAAAACAGCTTCTACACAGCTGCCTCTTGCCAACTTGAGTGATGACCTCCAGGAGCTGATCCTGCTCCTGATTGGAGGAGAGCAGCGTACTCGGCGTGTGGGCAGCCGAGTTAGGATTGGCGGAGGAGGACTATAAAGGAGGAGAGAGACGGCATGCACCAGGAACATCTAAGGGGAACATCTATCTGAAGGAACACCTGTGCAGCCCCCGAGAGAGCCAGCTGGCGGTGTGCCGCTCCCCCGCGGAAGTGGGGAATGTGGCAGGGGGAACTGCCCTTCCACGGAGGTGGAAGGGACGGTAGCCAACCCGGGAAGAACCAGCAGCAAACCCGGGGAGGGCCGAGCAGACAAAAGAACAGTGCAGGGTCCTGTGTCGTTCCTCCACGAAGACGGGGAGCGACATAATGGTGCCGTGACTCGGATATGAAGCCTAGGCAGGGCTTAGTGTCGTTCCTCCACGAAGAGGGGGAGCGACAGGCTATAAAACATAACCAAATTTCAAAATGTCAGTTTTACTCTATTAGTGACCACAGATCAGGGAAAACATATTTGTCTTTTTGGGACTGGCTTATTTCACTAAGTATAGTGGTTTCCAGGTACATCTATTTTGTTTCAAAAGCCAGGATTTTATTTTTTTACAGCTAAGTAGTAGTCCATAGTGTAAATATACCATAATTTCTTTATCCAGTCATCAGTTGATGGACATATGGTTGATTCTGTATCTTAGCTATTGTCAATTGAGCTATAATAAACTTGGGGGTACAGGTAACTCACATACTGACTTCATTTCCCTTGGGTAAATTTCCAAGAGTGGGATGGATGGGTCATATGGTAGGGCTATATTCAGATTTCTGAAGTTTCTCCATACTGTCTTCCATAGTGGCTTTACCAGTTTACATTCCCACCAACAGTGGATTAGGGCACCTTTTTCCTCACATCCTCACCAACATTTGTTGATTTCTGTATGAAAGCCATTCTAACTGGAGTGAGGTGAAATCTCATTGTAGTTTTGATTTGCTTTTCCCTGATGGCTAGGGATCCTGAGCATTTTTCATGTGTCTGCTGGCCATTTGAATTTCCTCTATGGAAAAATGCTTATTCAAGTCCCCTGCCCATTTATTAACTGGACTATTTTGTTGTTGCTGGAGTTTCTTGAGCTCTTTAGAGATTCTAGATATTAATACCTTATCAGTTGCACAGCTTGCAGATATTTTCTTCCATTCTGTCGGTTGCCTCTTCACTTAATATTGAGTGTTTCCTTTGTAAGGCAGAAGTTTCATAGCTTGTTATAATCCCATTAGTCTATTTTTGCTTTTACTGCCTATGTTTCTGGGGTTTTTCCAAGAAGTCTGCCTATGCCAATATCTTAGAGAGTTTCTCCAATGTTCTCCTCTAGTAATTTGATGTTATCAGGTCACAGATTTAGATCCTTGATCTATTTTGAGTTGATTTTTTTTAATAAGGTGTAAAGTAGGGATCTTCTTTCATACTTCTACATGTGGAGATCCAATTTTCCCAGCATGATTTGTAGAATGGACTGTCCTTTCTCCAGGGATTTACTTTAACTCCATCAAATATTAGTTTATTGTAGATATATGGATTGATTTCTGAGGTTTGTATTCTGTTCCACTGGTCTACATGTCCATTTTTGTGCAAGTCCAGGCTGTTTTGATGATAACTACCCTATAGAGTGTCTTGAAATCTGGTATTGTGATGCCTCAGACTTTGTTTTTGTTAAAATTGCTTTGGCTATTCAGGGTCTCTGGTGTCCCCATATGAATTTTTAGCATTGTTCTTTCTAGATCTGAGAAGAATGGCTTTGCTATTTTGATTGGGATCACAGTGAATCTGTCTTCTATTTCTTTAATGTTTTATAATTTTCATTGTAGAGATCTTTGACATCCCTGGTTAAAATTTATTCCAAGGTATTTGATTCTTTTTGTAGCTACTGTGAATGGGAATGTTTCTAGAAGTTCTTTCTCAGCCATGGCATTGTCCATATATACAAACACTATTGATTTTTGTGTGTTGATTTTTTTTTCCAAATCATCTCTCAGTGGAGTCTTTGGATCCCCTATATATAGAATCGCAGCTAGGGATAGTTTGACGTCCTCCTTCCCAATTTGTATCCCTTTGATTTCTTTTTCTTGCTAATGGCTGTGGCTAAAACTTCCAGGACTATACTGAATAGCAATGGTGAGAGTGGGCATCCTTGTCTGGCTCCAGATCTTAGTGGGAATGCTTCTAAACTTTTTCTCATTCAATAATATGCTGGTCAAGGGTTTGTCATAAATTGTATAGAGCAATGTTCCTTCTATACCCAATTTGTTCAAAGTTTTCATTTATGAAAGGATGTTGTATTTTATCAAATTCTTTCTCTGCATCTATTGAGAAAATTATATGGTTTTTATTCTTCAGTTGTTAATGTGATATATATTTATCAATTGTTGTATGCTGAACCATCCCTGCATACCAGGAAAAAATCCCACTTGGTCCTGGTGAATGATCTTTCTGATGTGTTGTTGGATTTGATTAGCTAGTACTTTACTGAGGATTTTGGCATCTGTGTTTATCAGGGATATTGGTCTACAGTTCTCCTTCTCTGTTGCACCTTTTTCTGGTTTAGGAATTAAGGTGATGCTGAGACCGCATGGAAGGAGTTTGGGAAGCTTTTCTCCCTTTCAATTGTTTTGAATAGCTTAAGAAGAATTGGAATTAGTTCTTTTTTAAAGGTCTGGTAGAATTCAGCAGTGAATCCATCCAGTCCTGGGATTTTCTGTTTAGGGAGGGTCTTTATTACAGATTCAATCTGTGTCTTGTTTACTGGTCTGTTAAGGTTTCCTTCTGTCTTCACGACTCAATTTTAGTAGACTCTATGCATCCAGGAATCTGTCCATTTCTTCTAGGTTTCCCAATTTGTTGGCATACAGCACTCTTTCAATTCTTGGTGATTCTTTTCAGTTCCGCAGTATCTGTCATTACATCCCTGATTTTATTGATTTGGGTCTTCTCCCTATCTTTTGGGTTAGTTGTTCTCTAATTTTAATCACTTCTTTTGTAAAAAGCTATGCAAATGAGTTAACATCCATTTATTAGCCTCAAAAGGAATAAAGGACAGACAGGGAATACCTGCCTGATGCAAAGCTCTCATTTCTGCTCCTCACCTCCCCCTCATAGACATTTAGATTTTAGGTTTTCTGTTATTCTAGTCAGATTTTTTTTTAATAAAACTTTGAAAAAATTGCCATGGTCATTTCTGTCCATTCAATCCCCCAGAGAAATTTTCTAAGAGCGAAAAGTAAACATAATGAAGACAATAAGTGTTTATTGGGATGTGGAAGTGGCCCAACAGTAACATGCACACCCACTTCTATTAAGTTGGCACTAAGTGGTAAGAGCTGTCTTTCAACAGGTTCCAGGCTCAATGCCATGAAGTCCTATCCTGCATGAGAAAATGAAAGAACATGCTCTGGGGCACCACTGCCGAGTCAATAAAAACCACTTTTAAAATGCATGCAGCCTGCCCCATGTGTTGGTGAGCAACATTACAAACACAAATACCTGGAATGGTACAACTAAGCTCTGCCGGCGACTGCTGCCCAGAACAAAGGCCCCGTGTTCTCCACCACTGGACTATTTTGTACCACGCACATGCTGCTTTCACAAATTAAAAGATGAATCGAAATTGATATACATAAACAGTTCTTGGAAGTACACCTTTGGAACTCTACAGAGAGGGAAGCACCAAACTAGGATCCTGGGCTGGCAGGAATTAGCTTAAATTTATCAATAATCACAATATAAATTCGTTCAATTCTATTTGAAGATAGGAATAGGTGTTAAATTAACACAACTACAATTCTCACAGCACCACAGGAAGGTTAAAAATGAATTGGGTAATGAATCCCCATGAATTATGCTAAGCAGGGAAAAAACACCAAAAGGTTGTTTTACTGCGTGATTCAGTTCATGTAACATTCTTAAAATAACAAGATCTCAGAAGTGGACAGATGAGTGGAATGTAGTTAAAAAAAAAAAAAAAAGCCACAGGCACAACCTTGCGGTTTGGAAACTGCTGTGTCTTGACTGCAGTGGTGAATACAGAAATTCCAAATGAGATATAACTGTCCAACTTCATGCACACAAATAAAAACAAGGAAAACTGGGCAAATCTAAATGAGATCATGGAGCCTATCAACGTGAACATCATGATTGTGATGCAGTACAACACTTGGGGGCAGAGGAAACCAGGCAAAGTATAGAAGGTATGTCTATTATTGTTTCTTACAAATGCATGTTGAATCGACAGTTATTTCAATGAAAATAAATGGGCAATACCAGAACAGTTAAAAATGAATGGCATAGGGGCCGGTGCTGTGACACAGTGAGTTAAAGCCCCGGCTGCACCACTTCCTATCCAGCTCTATGGTATGGCCTGGGAAAGCAGTGGAAGAAGGCCTAAGCCCTTGGGCCCCTGCACCCACATGGAAAACCCAGAGGAGACTCCTGGCTTCAGATCTGCGCAGTTCTGGCCGTTGTGGCCATCTGGGGAGTGAACCAGCGGATGGAATACCTCTCTGTCTCTACCTCTCTCTGTAACTCTTTCAAATAAATCTTTAAAAAAATGAATAGCACAATATTAAATAGTAAGCAAGGCTATGGATCAATGAGAATATTTACACAGCTGGTAGAAGTGCAAAATGATTCAAACTCTCTAGAAAATAATTTATGTATCCAGTCCCAGAGTATAACCAACAGAAATGCATACTATGTCCACAAAAAAGCATATGCAGAAAGTCAACAATTCCCATCAACAGCAGACTGAATAAAGATATTATACTCACATAGTGGATTCCTATAGAAATGAGACATACTTTATGTAATAATATGGAAAATCTCACACATTTAATGAAAGACCTAAAAGACACATTTTATGACTCAACAGAAAACTACTGTATTACACACTAAAGGACAAAAATTTAAAAATTCTCCAATTCAAGATAGAAGGGAACTTCTTTTAGGCAGTTTAATTAATGCTAAAGTTGAAGGCTTTCTCCCTATGAGCAAATAAAGGTGAAAATGTTTACTTCTCATCACTTTTCAAAACTACTGGAAATCCTGGCCAGTATGTCAAGAAAAGGAAAAAAAAATTGTATTTATTTTTATACAACCATCTACTTGTAGATGGAGCCATCATGTGTGAAGAAAGTTGTCTTAAGGTCTTACCACAAAGCTATTAATAAATGTAGCAAAGTCAGTATACACGATCAACAGTACTATTACCAGCAAGTGGAAATTTTTTAAACTCTGTAATGTTATAAAAACATGAACTACCTAAGAGTCATTTTAATAAAATATGTACTGAACAAAATTAATTCAGAGCACTGTTAAAAGGAGACCCCGTGGCTCAATAGGCTAATCCTCCGCCTGCAGCACCAGCACCCTGGGTTCTAGTCCCAGTTGTTCCTCTTCCTGTCCAGCTCTCTGCTGTGTCCCGGGAGTGCAGTGGAGGATGGCCCTGGTCCTTGGGCCGTGCACTCCATGGGAGACCAGGAGGAAGCACCTGGCTTCAGATCAGCACAGTGTGCTGGCCATAGCAGCCACTTTGGGGGTGAATCAACGGAAAAACGAAGACCTTTCTCTCTCTAACTCTGCTGGTCAAAAATAAATAAATGAAGACCTAAATAAATATAGAGACATCATCATGTTCATGCACTGAACTATCATTTTCAAATTGATCTACAACTTACCCCCATCCCAGTGAAAATTCTGGCAAGGTTTTTCTGTGTAAGTGTTTCTAAAATCTATATGGAAATGCAAACAATCAAGAATAGCCAACACGGGTTTCAGGAGGAACTGTCAGATGACTGGTACTTCCTGCTTGTGAAACTAATTACAAAGCAACAGTAGTCAACGCATTGTGGTAATTAGTGCAGAAACATAAAAGATCATGGAAAGTTTAGAAATAAACTCACAATATAAAGATAGCTGATTTCAACAAAGACGCTAAGAGTAATACAATAGGAAAAGGATTTCTCAATAAATCATCTCAGAACAAGTGGCTATCCATTTTAAAAAGGGTTACTCTTATGTCAGACCATACACAATTAATCTGCAATGAATTACAGCCCTAAACATAAAACTACAGGATACTTAGAACATAACAAATTTTTGAAATCTTTGGGGTAGGGCAATTTCTTAGGCCTCCAAAGATATGAATCAAAGTGAAAAGTAATTTAACTTCATCAAAATGAAAACGTTTTTGCTCCAATTTAATGACACCATGGAAAACTGATTACAGCCGGTGCTGTGGCGTACTAGGTTAAGCCTCTGCCTGCAGCTTCGAGTCCCAGCTGCTTCACTTCCAATCCAGCTCCCTGCGAATGGCCTGGGTAAGCAGCCTGGTTCGTGAGCCCCTGAACCCAGTTGGGAGACCCAGAAGAAGCTCCTGGCTCCTGCTTTGGATCAGCTCAGCCGATGTGGCCATTTGGGGAGTGAACTAGCAGATGAAAGACATCTCTGTCTCTTCCTCTCTGTTAAAATAAAATGACTAGGCAAACTACAGACTGGGAGAACATAGGCAACACACTATCTTATGAAAGAGTTGTATCTGGAATTTATAAAGAACTCCCTCAACCCAACACTAAAACAACCCAATACAAAATGGGCGAAAAGAGTTCAAGGCATACTTTACTTTAAAAAGGTACATGAATGGGTAATAAACACATCAGAGACGCTTGGCACCATTAGTCCTCATGGAAACTAAACTACAAGTGCGACAAGAACCACTTCAAACTCACCAAAATGGTAAAAATTAAAGACTAACAAACCAACTGTTGGCAAGGAGTGGAGAAATAGGAATTCTCAGTGGGTAACTTAAAATGGCTCAACTGCACTGAGAAACATTTGGCAGTATAGTCAAAGCTAAATATTCACTCACCATACAGTCTAGCAATTCCACTCAAATATTTAACCAAGAGAAATGAGACATGAACAAACATTTGTAGACAAATGTTAGAGTACTTAACTCGTAACAGCCACAAAGTGGAAGAGATCTAGAAGTCCACTTACAGGTGAATGAAAGCATTATGGGTCATCTTTTCAACGGAACACTACTCAGCAAGAAAAACAGATCCCTGATCCATGTAACAAGATAGATCAATCTGGAAAACATCCACTGAGCGAAAAAAGCCAGACACAAAAGACATGATGCTGATTCTGTTTATATGAAATTATAAAAATAGCTAATCTACAGTGCCAAAAAGCAGATCAGGCCAGGATGGACTGGTTAAAAAGGGCACAAGAGAACTTTCTAGCATGGTAATATTTATATTTTTATTGGGATGGTGGAAACATTCTTTATCAAATCTTAACGAGTATGTTGCACAGTGGTTCAGATCCCACTCAGATTTGGTTTTATGTTACTGATCTAGCTTCCTGCTAAGATGGTGGCTCATGTACTTGAGTCTCTGCTGCCCACACATGGCACCTGGATGGAGTCCAGTCTCCTGGCTTTGGCCTGGCCCAGCCTTAACTGTTGTGAGCATTTGGGATGTGAACCAGCAGCTGGAAGATCTCTGCCTTTCAAATAAATAAAAATGAATAAATAAAACTTCACAAAAAATTTGTCATCAAGCATATATTTAAAATACTGAGAAGACTGAAAATTACACCTCAATTTCATCAAAAAAGTTAGATTATACAGCTGCACTGTCCAATACATTAGACAAATATCCTAGTTAAATATAATCAAAATGAAATAAAATTCAGATCCTCAGCCACATTTCAAGTGCTTGATAATTACAGTATGTCTGGTGGATATTAAAAACATTCCCATCATTAAAATAATGTTCCCTTGGACAGCAATGTTAGAGGATATAATTAGACACCTGACAAGCTTGATATCTGTATGTTGATACATCAATGTTGCAAAAAATAATTTTGCAACTAAAGAGTGACCTTAAATCTTACAGAAATTAACCATGAGTTTGACCTCATGCAACAAGACTAGGCACCTTTCCTCTTAAAAACCAGCCTCAACCACTATAACTTTAAAACCATTTTCTTAATCTTTAATCCTGTTATTAACATCTTTTTAGTATATATTGTAACAAATATGACATATACAATTATATATAATGATTGTTACAAATATAAAAGATGCTAATAAGGGAAGCTGGGTATGGTGTTTATGGGACTCCTCACACTGTACAATTTCATTTGTAAACTTAAAACTATTCTAAAATTAACACTATTTAAATGAGACACAAACTGAAAACATGCATTACTCAAAAACATGGAAAATCTTCCTCTTGGTATTTGTGTTTGGTCCCCATTTTTGAGAAAGGTCCTTCTACCCCACCCTCATGACATCGCGATGTTGACATATAACCCTAGCCCACGCAGTGGAGCCAATCCCAAGTTCCTCCTTCCAGCTTGTAATAGAGTACGACTGGCAGGGCATTGGACCAGAAAGAATGGCAGAGTGGTCCCCCTTTTGCAGGTCAAACCAAAATGTGTAAAAGGCACAGTGAACATCACGGAAAGTAAAAATTGAGAAATCTCTGAAGAAATAAAAACACTGCGACACCAAGTCTCCATGTCACTTTTTCCTGAGACTGATGCTTATAAATCAATTGCCATTTCTGTTTAAATTTATCCAAGTTTCTTTCAATGCAAACAAGAGTCCTGATATACCAAAACCAAAAATATACAGCCACTGCTATATAAATGGAAAATTTCCCGGCCTGAAATAAAAACAGCTGACATTCACTGAGTGCTCACTGTATGCAGGTACTATTTTAAGTACATAACATACATTAATTCATTCAAACTACTATTAAACAAGAAAAATTGGAGTTATAAAATTCAATGATGACAAAACTGTGGTAAAACAGATCTACTTCAATATATTGCTGGGAGCATTCTAACCAAGGTTCTTTTTTCTAGACAACAATCAAGTAACAAATCTAACAAAATTAAGGAAGACTCTTCCTACTCATAAAATATATTTCCCAATTGACTAATTCTGCTTTGGGGCACGTATCCTGTGGAAATGGCCTAAGTAAATGTAGACAGAACCAAACATGTATTGTAACATCAGCACAGTGCTATTTACAATACAAAGATTTGCAAACATACATACACACCAACTAGTAGGAGAGTCGAAGTGGAACTAGAGCCATGATGGACTAAAGCAGTTACAACTGAAAATAGTTTTTAAAAGCAGAAGCTATTTATGAGATATAAAACATGAATTTTTAAATTTTCCAAATTTAAGCAAACTTAAATTGAATTGCCTTCATTATGTACTGACGCAACACATAACACAGCCTTCCCCTCGGGATGGAGGGAGCCACACGTACCTGACGCAATGACAGGCTCTTTCATAAGTTCTCGAGTTATTGGGCAGATAAATTCATCAGGAATTCCAGAAGAAAGGGATTTCGCCTGGGTCCTGAGCTCTTCCACTTTCCTCAGCACTTTATTACGCAGCCCTAGAGATTCTGAAGAGAAATCATCTGTTAGGCCTGGAGAGCTACTGGTAATCTGATGCAACGAAGTCTCCAGCAAACACACATTTTATCTAGTCCAACCCAGAATCTTCATTGCGCCACAGCACTCTTCTTTACGATTACTTAGCCAGTGTTCGTAACATACAATCTATGGTTAAAACGCAACAGCAGCTAGTGCAGTTTAAATATCTCAGATTCTAAAAGTTCAAGAATTTTAGGTTGCCAGATCTTAATATAATCCACAAAACCAAAAGATTCATTATTATGGGTATTTACACAACAAAAATTTTTCTCTAAAATCATTTTTAAACTACCTCATGTTAATTACATAAAATTTCATGTTATAATATTCTAAAACTATGAAGTTAAATATATTTTCTGATTCTTATATGAAAATCATAAAGCCCACCTGTATGTACAAAACTTCACAAATTTCATTTTTTACCTTACTTTTCAGTTTTACAAGGTCTAGTATACTGAATGCTGGGAAATGTTTACATTTGTGAAACCACCTGACAATGCTGCTGTAGGCTGGGATGTTGGGACTCACGGTGGTAGAAGAAAAAAAAATCACATTTCAGGATGCTTCCTATTTCCCAACAAAAGCAAAACCAGCCTGCTCTCTGCAGGGAGCCAATGCTCCACGTTCTCGACCTCCTTTTGTCCCAGACAGTCTCTCAAAGGAAGCCAGCCATGCTGTCCTCTGCCCAGCCAGAGGGCAGGTCTCCACCTGGGTAGACAACATCTTCCTCAGGAGCTAATTTGCTGGTGGTCCCATCAGAAGACCAGGAGTTTGCTAAGTTCAGGGTTCCTCAGCTTTACCACAAACACCAATCACCCCTGTGACACCCAGGAGGACAGGGGAGTCGGGCGGAATAAGGGCCAAAAGTAATAGACTGCTCAATCTACCCGGGGGCCTGGTGCCCAGAGTTAAACCAATGTGGCAGTCGGGCTAGCTGCTGATGGCTGCTGTGACTTCCATCTTACAGAATTCACTGAAACCAAATAGAGACTTTCACACAATTATTAAAAGCACAACACAGAATTCCATGATTTCTTGACATGCCGAGTTTGCATAAATGAGTCACAGAGATTCCCTGAGATTCCTATGAGATCACTAGCCAGATTCAAGAGGAAACCATTGCCAAGACAGAAGTGCCTATTTATGGAAGGGTGCCTCTAAAATCAAGCATGCTGTTATCTGCCCACCACAGTCGGTCTTAATGCAACAAGTCAGAGAAACACTCACTCCCATGGTTTATTGGGTCCATGTATTCCCAGGATTGGGATTCTCCCCTCCAAATTACTGCATTTCCCAAGGGTCGGCAGAGTTGCCCTTTCTTTTTTTTTTTCCAGCTGAGAGGCAGAAACAGAGACAGAGAGGGGAGCTGCCATCTGCTGGTTCACTTTCCAAATGCCCACAACAGCGAGGGCCAAAGCCATAAGCTGGGAGCCAAGAATCCAACTACCTAAGCCATCTCTGCTGCTTGCTAGGATTTACAGTGGCAGGAAGCTGAAGTCAGGAGCCACAGCCAGGAATCAACCCCAGGTCCTCGGATGTGGAATGCAGAACACTTAACCATTAGGCTAAATTCCTGCTCCCTGAACTGCGTATTTTTACTTTGCCAGGCAAATACAATGGAGGGTTTAAAAGAAGTTAGGATGGACCATGTGCTCTAAGTAAGGAGTGAAATCAGAGTAGAGACAGATAATTAAACAAGTAAAATGAACAGAAAAAGGTTTGGGAACGGTGAGGACTGACTGCAGTATGGGTACTAGAGGACACGATGGCAGAAACACCTGACTGCTATGCTTCCTGATACCTTGCCCAGTGAAAATCCTCCACCTGTGCACACACAGGGCTTGACAAACTAGCTCCTGATTTTTTTTTGTATGTGTGGAACACGCTGCCATTAGACATAGCCATCTCATTTAAAGAGCTAACTAAACTATTCATAATAAAAACACAGACATTTAATATTCTGGAACAAAGATCTTTTTCCTATCAAAATATTATATATTTGTACTAACATTTTGAGTGCTTACAATAGTTACAATAGAGGATACAGGAGGTCTACTTCAAAATGCTCTAGGTAAGAAAAGGTTCCATTAGGTGTTATCCTTGTCCAGTTTTAGGGCTTTCAAAGCAGAGTCGGAGCACCATGCTCTCGGGAAGCATTTACCAAACCACGTCCAGAGCTTCACCATACCCCGGACACAAACAGCTCCTCTGCACTGGGGGTGGGGATAAGCATGATAAATCTGACTGCTCCATAAGCGCAGTGCAGGCAAGGGACTGTCTGGCTCGGGCTTACCACCATCCTGAGGAAGCATCTGCTTCTCTACAGGTTATAATGGGCACGAGCTCCAGTGCCTTCCTTTTTCCCTCGTACGTCATCCTGGAAAATTCTGTCATTCTAATAACCATCTAATGCACAAAACAACATAAAGCAAGGCTCTGAAAAGCCCTGAGGAAACAGATGCTGAGTGGGTTCCCGGGGTTGCCATCCTGGAAGATGGGAACGACAGCACAGAGCAGAGATCTGCATGCACGAAGGGAGAGACACCATTCACTGGCGCCCTTTACTCTCCCCATGTGTGTGCTGGGAGGGTCACCGCCACAGCAGCGGTGGAGACTGGAGACAAAGGCTCCCCAAGCACCTGCCTGCTCGCTCAGTCACAGAACAACAGAACCAAACGCTAGCTGCTGGCAAAGACGACTACAGAACTCCTTCCAATTTTTTTAAAGAAAATTTTATTTTAAAAAGCAAATTTCAGAAAAGAATGACCAAGATAAAATATTCAGAGAGAGACATGAAGACAAGACAAAAATGATATTGGCATAAGAATGGAAAACACAACTCCAGGTATATCAGGGATTTTTAAAGGGAGATTTGGAGAAGATAGTGGTAGAAGCAGTCTAATTTTTTTTAATGTCTCTGAATCAAAGCAACTTGATGGCCAACTCAAACCCCATGGAGAAAAAAAGGTAGCCAGACAGCCTCACAAACCTCACAATGTGAGTGACTATGGACAAACCACCAGTGTCCACGTCTGTGTGGACGACATCTGTGTGATGACATCTGTGTGGATGGAAGCTACAAGACAACTGACTAGGCCTGAGTAAAGCTGGCCACAAAAAGCCCACTGAGAACTCACAGGAACAGCAGGCAACCAGAAGAGCCATGCCCAGTTCAGTAGTGGGCCAGCGCACAGCTACTACATTGGAACAAGTGATTCTGCTTTAATGGTGCGTAAGGAAAAAATGGTAACTGTTCAATTCCTTAATGATATATGCAGTTACATAGTGAGGCTATCTGTGAAAATCCACATAATGAGGTATTACTACAGAGGCATGAAATTTTCAAAATCTGAGGATATGAAGACAATTGAAGTATAAAGTTTGAAAAAGAATTTGATACAATTTTTAACTTAGAAAATCGTAAAAATGTCCTGTGTGTTTTTATATTTTGGGGGAAAAAAGAACAAAAGAAAGAGTGACCCTCTAAAAAAAATCTCTTTCCCAGGTAGTAATCTATGATTCCATGACTGATAACTGCTCCTTGGCATCTATCACACTAAGTTTTTGCCACTGTATGGGCTACAGTAATTCCAAACCCTAAGAACACAGCATACTGTTTAATAACCCCACAGCCCAGATATAAACTGAGACCAATGTGCAGATACATGTGGCAGTCAGTGGACTTCCTGCTTGCCCAAGATGACCTCTGTAAGTGACTTCATTGCTCTTTCCCTTTTAAACTTCATGCTTTTAAGATATTAAATGTTATAGTAGTGTTCACAAATTCAAGGGTGCACAAATGCCTTAGGATATCTTAGATTTTCTGAAGGTGTAATCTGGACATTCCTATGTTAATGTAATGCCAGACAGTTATTTGCTTCCTAAAACTCTACGTTTGTTCTACCTCAGGTGTTCATTAACCCAATCCTAGACAATGACTATTATCCATAAAGTACCTGATGCAGACATTCAAACCTGCACAAACTTCCTTATGGTATGTTTGGAAAAGGCCAACTAAAAAAAGATTTGAGAGACTGCTCAATTCCTTAAAAATACTCATAATTTGTTGAAGGATCCCAGGTCAGAGCCACAGATCTCATTGGCTCTAAGCTAAAAAGCCCTTCACTCAGCCCAGCTTCCAAAGTGACCACCGCAGCTGATTTAGCCCACTCCTGGGCCTCATTCCTTTGTAATCATAACCTCTACTCTACCACCAATGGCTCTACTCCCAACCTGTGTGTACTGATGGTCCTCTTCCCTACTTAATGCTGTATAATTGTTCAAAATTTCTCTACAAACCCTGCTACCTGCAAAAGTGGCTTTTCTCCCAGTCTTGGCTGGAATCAGCTTTAAACCACATCCATCAAACTGTCCCCATAAGGGTCCAGAGACCCCCCCCTCCATTTCCTCTCCTCTATAAAATCCTCTCATTACCTGGTTAGTGCTACTCTTAGGATCATTGGCTACTATTCTCACCCTGTCTCTCATACTACAGTGTCTAAGTGTTTACAGAAGGTTATAATGGAACAAACAAAGGCCTTCAACAACCAGGCGGTCAACCAAATGCTGCTACAAGGCTCCCAGCTAGGAGACAGTGGCTTGAGACATCGCCCCCAGCCAGCGAAGAGTACCTCGTCGCCCCATGTCAGCAGAAAGTAGCTCTAAAGACAGATCATCGTCCCTCTACCCCTCTTGGACTTTTGGGACTAACATAATCCCATACAAATCCTGCTTTATAAAAAACAAAAGGGGGGAATGTTAGGAAACTGGCACAGTTGTAGCCAGGTGGCCGCATGGCCCAGCTACCTGAGCCAGGCTCCACCCCCATCCTAATGGGATTCACTGCTCCTGCTTCCCTGCCCGCCCTCAGGCAAAGTTTTAAAAGGGCCTGTTCCTGAACTCTTGGCTCTTGGCCCTTCTCCCCTGCGCTCTCTTGACTCTTCTCTCTTGGTTCCTCTCTCTAGCCTCT